TACTAATGAACCATTGACATCATATATTTTAGAAAACTTTTTCTTTTGAAACTATTTTATGATTATCAGTAATCTTCGAATAACTTAATAAATTTGCTTTCATTTCTTTTACATAAAATACATTCTTCAATGTTACGATAGATTCAGAGTTATATACAGGAAAAGAAACTATTATATTGCCAACCTTTGTAGCTTTCAAAATCCTTCCGTCACCGACTTTCACTTGAATAGGATCCTTCAAAGTGACTTGCTCTTTGAAATATTCATCACTGTTTATAATGTGGTCTGTGCATCCGCTATCCAGTAACCAATCGATTTCATTTTTATTCGTCACAGTATTTGCACTGGAACTTGTCATGTTACTTTTGATAACAGTGGTGTGAAAACTATTGCCTTGATGACTGTTTATTCTGTGGTTAGAGTATGCTCCACGTTCCATGATGTCCACTAAAAGCACGAATACTACGTTCCTCGATTGTTTGAAGAACTTCGACCGCGATAATTAGTGGAGCCATTACCACGATAGTTCCTTTGATGGAACATGCCAACAATTCTTTTTAATGTGACCAGGTTTTCCACAATTATAACAGACATTCCCTTGTGGACCCGATTTGCTTGTTTCAATTTTGAACGCATTTGATTTTTCTGCTGGTGCACAATCTTCATAATCATTTTTCTCTTCAAGTAATTTTGATTTGATTTTGCTCTTTAGGTAATCGACTGTTCTGTCCTTCTCTGGTAATACATCTATTAAGTCACCAATGTGACTGTAATTTGAAGGTAATGCTCTTAGCATATAGTTCAATTTTTCTTGTTCCGTCACGGTGGCGCCGGCATGTTTCAGTTCGTTCACATACTTCTCAAAATCATCGAAAATATATTTACATCAGGATAATTTTTCAGTTTCGCACATTCTAAGTTATTTCGACAAACAATTTGTAGAGATGTTGAAGTTTTTAAATACATTGCATCAAATTTCGTAATTATATCAAATGCAGTCTCACACTCGTGAATATATTCCAATTGCTTGTTTGTTATGGCGCCGTAAATGTAATTTGTAGCTTGGATATCCTTTTCTTCCCATTTTTCCACGTCATCATTTTCACTGACTTTTCGCTGAACCACATCTTTACACTTTTTAAATTGAAGAAATTTCATCATACGCACTTTCCAATTAAAATAGTCCAAACCATCAAATAGCGGTATGCCGATATCGCTGCTTCTTGTACATGCCATTTTTATGCTATTACCGGTAACTTTTAAAACAAATTATAACTACTAAATTCTTCATTCATATTCACAGACCACGAGAACTGCTACCATGTTAAATAAATCAATATCATATGAAGAAGCAAGTCGAAAAATAAGAAACGTATCTTTTCACATTTTTTATTGAAACTTAACAACACGTGCACAACATTACAATGGCATCCATAGCTCGCACACAGAGAGAGAGAACTTGGTGTTGCCAATATGGTAAAGATAAATGTACCAAACTAACACTTGCTGTACCTATCTATGACAACTCGTCCTGATATTCTGTTTTCTGTGAACTGTCTGAGTCAGATACAAGAGCAACCCAAAAGTGCTTGGGCTTTATGTTGATGCTGATTGGGGGTCAGATACATATGATAGAAAATCTATTTCTGGGTATATTATTTTCTTTAATGATTGTCCTGTAACTTGGTCTGTTAAAAAGCAAACGGCCATTGCTCTGTCCTCTATTGAGGCAGAAATTTTGGCTTTAGCAAAAGCTATTCAGGACCTAACTGTATTTTATAATGTATCTAAAGAAATTTTATGAGTCGACAATATTAAAAGTTTCAGTTTATGAGGATAATCAGTCTGTAATTAAAGCAATATTAAATGAAAGTAATTGTGCTAGACTAAAACATTTGGATATTAAATTAAAGAATATTAGGGATATTGTAAAATTGTATGATATAAATCTTGTATATGTTTCTAGTGAAAATCAGTTAGCTGATTTGTTTAGAAAATGCTTGCCTAAACCAAGATTATGTTATTTAAGAGATAAATGTAAAATAATATGTGATTAAGGGAGGGTGTTGAGAATAATCACACTTACTCCCTGGCTTATGATTTGATGTTATATGTATATTAACCGTAACTGTTTATATTTTGCTTAGGTTGTATTGGCAACAGTCGTTGTAGTTTTTTTTTTTTTCGGTGTGATATGTAGAAATGTGCTGTTCTATGTGTGTGATTAATTCCATCGTTTAATAAAGCCTCTACTTAACTATCATCGTCCTCTGATTCACCTTTTTAAATCTTTACATTTACATTTGTCTGTTGTATCTTATCCTTTTGTTTATAAATCCTTAGAATGGAAAGTTTTCTGTAAGATTTTGACCCTTGAATTTCAGAATTTTTAACAAAATTTTTTTTGCCTCTTAAAGTAAAGGGACCTGTATCTGATCACAATATTGACAGAATTTTAACGAAAATCTCTGTGAAACTAAGGTTGCTTTTTTTATGTGATTTAAAATTTTACACTGCTTCCATTTGATGGTGTTAATCACAAACCTACTATGACTGCTGTTTGATTTTTCAAGGTAACTGAATTTGAGTCAGTCAGTTGCAATGTCAGTCAAGTCCTGTCACTTCCCCTGGAGTCTTGACATAACTCACTCATTCATTCAAACATAGCCAACAATCACATGATGTAAACATTTATTAAGGAAGAAAAAGCTGGATCAAATCCATCTTATGATCTTTTCGAGTTCCAGAGAGAAATCATGGTGATGTATCATTTTGCTTGTACTTGTTAGGCACATACAAAGTATGTAATAAAGGTAGTTATGTATTATGGCAACCTCCTTAATATGATGTATAATTTTGATTGTAGCTGCTAGGCATGAACATCTATATCTCTCGTTCTACTGGGCCGATTGATGAAATTCAACTTGTGTTTTTTATATCTCGAAAGCACGACTTAGATGTACATTAGATTTATGTATAGCGTTGTTCTAGTATAGGTATTTTGACACAAAATCGGACTTTTTTTGAAATGACATGCCAATGTTTTTCCATATTTTGATTTGATGACTTAAATTATTTCTTGTAAAAATCACATAAGTAGTTTTTAAAAAAATTAGGTCTCAAAATTTTAGCTCCTCCATGTTTAGTAGAATTTCGTATGTATATTTATTAATATCTTATTTTTTATTAACTACTTGAAACTTCCTTTTTTTTTCACATTTCAAAATTTAGGTTTATTCCAATATAATTAGCTCATTTTTTATGAATTATTTTTAAAATTTGTATTTTTAAATAATTTTTGTAAATTTTTCGAAAAAATTTTTTGAATTATAATCTATAAAATGTTTACCATCGTATTAAAGTAGATGTATTTCTAAGCATACGTGCAAAAAATTAGAGTTTTTTATTCAAAATTTCCTAAGATATATGTGAATTTACATTTTGGCGTGTTTTGAAATTTGCTGTATTTACTATAAGCAATAATAACAAAAATGTGATTTACGCACTTTGTTAAAATTATTGGAAAGAATGAACAATAGACCTTTTTTCCCCCTCGTGCATCAATGAAAAAAAGGAAAGTAAGTAGGTTACTATAAATTAAGAATCCTACCAAGTGAATTATTCTTGGCGTAAATTGAAAAAATTGCTCCAAGATAAATGCTTGAATTTCTCTATAAGTTTCGCACCAAATTTTACATTTTAATATTTAGGCATAATTTGAGTCATGCAATTGAAATATTGAAAAAAATTGGCATGTAATTTCTGAAAAAGTCCGATTTTGTATGAAAATATCCATGTTAGAACAATGCTATATATAAATCTAACATATATTCGAAGTCATGCTTTCGAGACACGAAAAACGCAATTTGAATTTCATCAATTGGCCCAGTAGAACGGGAGATGTAGAACTGTCCCAATTTTTTGGTGCAGTGTACAAGGGTGCCTAATAAAGGTAGATGCATATTATCACAACCACCATAATATTATGCATAATTTTGTTTGCAGCTGTTAAGTATGTGCAAGGTAAATATAAATCTTTAAGGTAAAAATAAGGGAACAAAATTCTGTTTAATTTCAGCAGGAATATTTTATTTTGCCCTAAATTTACTCAAGGGAACAATAATAAGATGCATTTTGTATATAATTGGTTTGCAATACTGAGTTTGGGGAATTCTGTGATTTTTTTTTCAATGCAAAAATCCATCGCTAGGTAAATGGGGAGAAGAACAAACAGCATTAACAAATAAAGGAAGATTTTGCAAAAACCGTGTTATATTCTTTAAATGTGTCAAGTAATCCTTATTAAGTAATTAAAATTTGTATTTAAAAAAACTTTATATGTATATTTTCTTTTGAATATGTTGATAACGTCTGCCAGTTTATGGTAAATGTCTGTATTTTGGGAATAATTAACAAAAAAAAAAAAAAAAATGTCACGAAATTCACCAACTGGCACCCCATAAGTAATTTTACCCTTTCATCTGAAAAAATAGTGAAACTGCTCCAAGGTGGTTGTGTTAATATGTAAGTACCCTTATAAATTTCCCAGTACTGGCATCTAGGTCAATGCATGTGACTTCCTGGACACAAGATCTTTTTAAAGAACTGACAGGCTTATTATAAAATACAATACATATAATAACAACATTAGCCAAATGGCAAAAATGTTATGTATCTTCAGAATCAATATATTTCGCATAATTATCTCTGTTTAAATAATAGTCATTAATTAATTTTAATCTCACTTAGTTACTTGAACAGGGCCATTTTTTAAGTTTACTTCCTGATAGTTTGGTAAAATGCAACCATTAACTGAAATGTTTTGAAGACATTAAAAAAAGAATGTGAATGATCAATATGAAAATTTTCCGAGTGGATTTTTATGTATAGTTATTTCTAAAGTTATATTAAACTAATCGAAATACATCATTAGACTATAATGCAGTAAACTGAATTAGTTTAATGTATTTTCTTATATTATATCTTGTTTACTTTTGTAGGTTTCATATTATTCCCAAATGAAGTTGGATCTTTCAAATCATATGCTTTCATTCCAAACTTTATATTGAACTCAGCTTTACTCAGTTATTGATTTTGTGTCTTTAGGATTTCTAGTAAGTTTACTTCTTTTGTTTGTTACTTAATTAGTTGGATTAACCAAATAAATGTTTGGTCACTAATATTTTGACAAGAAAAGAAATTTATCAGTGTGCAAATGTAATACATTGCATTTTGAAGGAAAGATGTAATTAAATTGTCAGGTGTGAAAAGGTATCATGTTAAAAATGTTACATTTTACAGGAACAACAAAAAACTATTCCCACTCCCCAAGAATGCCAGAAGTCAAAAACAAATAATTATGAGATTGGTATAGCTAGGATCCAAGTGATCCAGCATCATTTAAGCAATTTAGTTGTTCATGGACCTGCCCTTCCATAAAATTTAAAAAAAAAAAAAAAAAAAAAAAAAATTAAGCATATCCCCATTTTACAAACTGTAATATTTTTTCTTCCCAGATTGGTCACAAAATAGAAAATTATGAAAAATTTGTTGCTCTTTCTAAAAACCCAATGTCACATTAAAAAAATATAGATTTAGAAAAACATTGTTATAAAAACTAGGTATAATCTACCTGTTGTAAATTATAAAATAATAAATAATAATAGCTTTAAAATTTAAATTTTATTTTGTTTGGTAAACAGACTCAAAACTAGTAAAGAGCTGTTAAAAATATAATAAACAATAAGTAGGAAAAAAAAAACAGGAGTGTTCCCAATTATAATGAAACCTTAATAATCTCTTTTGCCCTACTCCTAGTTGCTTTCTATTCCTGTTGTCAGCCAGTGCATGCTGAAGTTTTTAAAGTCTGTATGCTCATTCGGTCTGTGAATGCTCTTTTGAACATCCATGATCTTTTTTCTATTAATGAAATTGTTCCCTTCACTAAATGCTGTTTGGTTTAACAGGGTCATGGAAGTGCTGCAAAATTTTCTGAGGGTTAACATGTTTTGTCTCAAACCGCATATGAAAAGAGATGCCTTGACTTTACATGGATCACAGATGACAAAATGCGATATTAAAGATACTGTGAAGGCTACTTTAGCTTCATTTCTGATATGCCAGCTGTAGCTTTCATCTCATACTCTTGACATTTTATAGACAGTAGTCCCTGACGTCTTGAACTTCTTGATTTGATCAGGGCCTGCTCGTATTACCTTAAATTTTGCTTTTTCGCTTGACATCTTTCTCATTTCTTCATATTCTTTTAACTTGTAGATGCGATCAATTCTGATGATATTGCATTTGACTGTTCTGAAATATATATCCCATGGGAGAACCCAGTGACCCTTTATTGACCATTTTGTGTTTGACATTTCAGCAGTTTTTACAAAGAAACTTTTTTTGTGGTTCACTTTTAAGCCCTTCATAAATGAGAAATGATCAATATGCGCACTGATTCAAAAAACGCTGAGGAGAACGTTCGGATATGGGAGTTATGAGTGGGGGCAACACCAGCAGTTCGATACCTTTATTTGCAAAATATATTAAAGCACTTTACAACAAATGCATCTCAGTTTAAAAATTACAACAAATCCATGCTTAGATTTTGCCTTATACTGATTGTCTTGAAAAAAGCTTTCAGTTATGGTTTATTGATACTCAAGATCTACACAGTCAAAGCCATAGCTAGGGTTTTCAGCGCCCGGGGACAACTAAAGATTTTGCACCCCCTCCTGGATGTCAAGAATTGAAAACATTCTATTCTAAAATTTCTTAACTTTAGTTTGTTAATGTAACACTTTTAAAAGTTTATTTTTATGTTTGATAAAGTATTCTTAAAGGCATGTTGAACTAACTGAAATAAATCATTAGATTTCTGTTGTCTAGAGTTTGATAATCAAGTTAAAAAGATGAAAACATAAAGTTTAAGACATAAAAAGTATTCTACATTGCATAAAAATTTTATTTTTGTTGTCGCACTTTTATAAATAAATTTTTACTTCTGTAGATTAAGTTTAGAATTTCAATAAATTCAAAGTTTCCAGTTTATTTCTTCTGCAGTTGCAGTTTTAAATTTGTTAATTTCTAGTAAGATTTTATTTATTTATTGCATTTTTTTTTTAAAAGCAGCTTATATGGAACATATTTGAGAAAAATACCTTCCAGAAAGAACATCGTTCAATTTTTTTTGATGAATGATGATGACCTTTTGATGAATTGGTTAACGCACATTATTGGAATCGACATCAGTTTTAAGTTTTATATCTTTTCATGCATTTCTTGAATAAAAGCTTCGTTTCTTTTCATATATTTCTTAATAACTAATTCTGTAAATTGAACTGTCATTTAAAATTTAAAAAAAAAAAATTAATTGTTTTCCGTGGTTGAGGTAATGCTCATTTTCTTAATAAATATTGCATTGCTCATATTTTAAATTACAAGTCTAATTTTACTTTTAAGGTTATGCAGTTGTGTATAATGTAATTAGACAAGTGCTTATTTTTTCCTTAAAATGTGCTTGAAAAGTGCTTATGGGTGCTTATTTTTTTAACTAAAATGTGGCTACGAACCCTGTAAAAAATATAAAGAAAACATATGATGGTAATATTATGCATTTAGATGTTAAATCTGTTCCATGATGTATTTTTTCCTATGATATTCGTTTCAGTTTACATATGCTGAATGATCTTTTATTTTTCATTTTACATTTTTAATCTTTTTCTGATCTGAAACTGAAAATACTATAAAGGCAAAAAGATATATTTGAACTAATTCTAAATTTGCCCAAGATCAATTCAAGTAAACTTTTAATTTTCCATTGAATTAATGTTATAAATATATTTACTGAAGTTTCCAGATACAGATTTAATTTCAACTACAAGACATAACCATTTGATAAGAGCAGTCCTTAAAATTTTAGGCAAAACCCACTTGCAAGACAGAAAATTTTCATTCTTAAAAAATTTACTTCAAACATTAACTGGGTGAACAGAAAGAGTTAGTTTTTAAGTTACACACTAAGCTAAATCTGGTCTTTAAATTTTGCAAACATTTTCAGTCAGGCTGAAATATGTAGCTTTGTCTTTAATAATGGCAGAGTTTTTAAATGTGTAGCATCATCATTTAGAATTCTACTGTATGATATGAAGTACGGAAGGCAAGAGAGGGAAGTATGGGATGTCCATTTTACATAGAATGTTTTAAATGACATAATTATACCTTGGTCTAATAGTTGTGACATAAATAAAATTTGTATGTTTGCGTGTTCCAAGACAGGATGACCAGATGCTTTGTTAAGAATAAGAAGAGCTTTAAATTTGAGATCTTTCACATTCATATATCAGCTGATCTCTGGAACATAACTTTTGTTGAACCATTCTGTAAGGATAGCAATAGTCATTCAGGTCTTCTTTGCTGTCCAGTGAACTTTACTGGTATCTGCACCTTTCACTGAATGGGAGCGTAGGTTTTGATTTACCAGCAGTGCTTTCAACATAAGATCTCTTGGAGCAGAGCTTATTAATAAGGTCATACAATCCGTAACTTTCTTAAAACCATCAGCAATTTTCCGCGATTTAGTTACATGCATTCTGTTCTGTACTTTCTTTTCAATTTTCAATATTTCTGGCTTGCAGAAAATGTTTTTTTTTTTTTTTTTTTTTTTTTTTTTTTTTTTTTTTAAAGATGAAATTATTGCTTTCTATAAATTTTTAGTGCTGTATATTTAATAGCATTTCTATCTATTGGTTCTCTTTTTTGTGACTTATCTTCTATCTATGTTACCAGATTCTTTTTGGTTTAATTTCTTGACAATGCCTTTTGTAAAAGACAATGAATTAATACTTACATTTTTTCCAGAATATGCCGATTTGCTAATTGCAGCTTCATTTTTCTTTTTGGTTCTTAAAGTAGTGCCATGTACTCCAAAATGTTTTACTATAGACATAACATCTTGTCCTATTAAAGACTATCTAAAATTTGAATTTTAAGCTCTAAAGAAATCACTTTTTAGTTTGTTAATAAGAGAATTATGTGACATTGGGTTACAGAAAAATATCACAATTATTATGTAAAAAAATATGAAAAATTTGTAAACTCAACAATTTATTGATTTTGGGCAAAATTAATAAATTTATGTGAACACAAATTTCACTAAAGATTCTTTGAACTGAAGCTATGTGTTAAATATCACTTTAAAATATAGCTGTATACTAAATATCTTCTGAAGATATAAAGCACTGGTTCCAGTTCCAAATTCTAATCACATTCAGTTTAGAAACAGAAGAAAAAAACTAATTAATTTAGTAATGCAACTGACTGCTCACCATGGATAAGTTCCTCATTGTCCTCCATTAGCTATTATGCAATATATTCACATGTATGGTTACTGCTAAGCCACAAATAAAAATTGCTTTTGTAAAATTAAAAAAAAAAAAAAAAAAAAAAAAAAACACCCTGAAAGCCTTTAGATTTTGTATTATGCCCAAAGGACCCCCCCTTTTTTTTGGTTTGTTTTCATTTATACTCACATGCACATTTCAAGAGCATTTGGGTAAAAAATATTTAAAATTTCTTTGTCTTTAGAATTTCTGATAGACAGTCTCGCACACTGGAGATAAAAATGTTTTATCCCGTACACCTGCTTTTTTCCACCCGTGTTACCTGCTTTCTTTGAAATCATTAAGTTTGTTAATAAAAAATTCACTAAAGTTTTATAAAATATGAAATAGGTAATAAAACAAATTCAAAATTCGGGCTTCCGGGTGACCGTATTTGGGTGAAGGACTACATTACTCAAAATTTGATGGCTCTAGGTGCCATTGTTTTTTCACATTGCGAGAAACATACATACATTCATGCAGATTCTTCATTACTTAATTTCTCTGAATAAAATACAGGGCGATAATATTTGTTTGCAACTATTTCAAAAGTGGTTTAGCTCATTTAGTGATTTGATGAAAAATGCTATTTTGAGACTGATACCCATTTGGGCTAAAACAAACTATTACAATTTTTCTTTGCCAGCTCGTGTTAAGTCAAAATGATATGTGTAAAAAGATATGAAATATTTATTTTGAATTCATATTAAATCAAATTTACAAAATGTTTATGT